TGTGGGCTGGTGAACCAGGCTACAACAAGGAGGCCAAGGAAACAAAGGAGACGAAGGACGACGCTGCAAATCGGCGTACAAAGCAGGGTATTGAAGGGGTCCAACAGGGTTGTTAACCAGCGACTGTGGCAAGTTGGCGAATGCATCGGCAGTACAAAGGAGTAGTGCTACAATAGTAACTGTGTTCTTAAAGGGTTACTAGTAGTCGAAATAGGTGCAGAAGAAGTAGAAGTAGTCATGGTTGCAGTGGAAGAGGAAGGAGTAGCAGTAGTGGTCGGTGCTGGTGCTGGTGCTGGTTGGTGCCGGTGCTGGTGATGGTTGGTGCTGGTGCTGGTGCTGGTTGGTTGTGATGATGTGGGTTGCTCCAGATGCCAGTAAAGGCCACTAATCATCCTCCCTCTTGGGGTTGGGTGCAGGTGGACGCTTTGCCACCAAATCTTAGGGTTTCTTGTTGTCCTCTTTCCTAGCTCTTGCTTACTTTTCTGTTTGCTCATCCGTTTTGCCCATTCGATCTTCTTTGAGCCACCCTAAACCCTAAACCCTAAACCATCTATCTTATTGTAGGGACATCCTAAGCCCTAAACCCTAAACCATGTTTCCTACTGTAGGGACATCCTAAGCCCTAAGCCCTAAGCCATCTTTCTTACTGTAGGGACATCCTAAGCCCTAAACCCTAAGCCATCTTTCTTATTGTAGGGACATGCAAGGGAATCATGGGCACTCCTTGAGGGTGTGGGTTTCCCACAGTTCGAGTTTAGGGTTCTGGGTTTAGGGTTTAGGGTTCAGGGTTTAGGGTTTAGGGTTCCCCAGAATAAGAATTTTAGTATATTGGGATCTATATTGGGGTCCCCCTATTTAGGGAAACTACCATATCTCTTTTTGCTAAGGCGACTGTTTTTGGCTTGGCCTTCAGATGGAACCCTAACCCTAAACCCTAAACCCCTAAACCCTAAACCCTAAACCCCTAAACCCCTAAACCCCTAAACCCCTAAACCCTAAACCTGAATCTCCGGCCTGCATCTTCCTAGTGCCCTCTGATCTCCATTGGTGCTTGGAAGGCTTGACTCGCAAACCTTGGCTAAACCTTGGGTACTGCCCCCCCATCACTAACAGTTGGATAATAAATATACTATGGTTATATATAGCCCTTAATAGGACCCCTAGTATAGACTGTTACTGGGGGGCAGTACCAAAGCTAAACCTTATAGTCCCCCTTAAGTAGATAGAATATAGCTTTGCGTATGTTATAATAAGATCCCCATAGACCCCATATTCTATCTACTTATGGGGGGCTATAAATCCTGAATACGTTAAGAACATGCAGCATCAATCCCAGAGGTTCCATGTCTTCATGATCGCTCATGGCGTTTTTTCATACGAGGATTTCCATGAAACAGAATCCAAATATAGACCCCAGTATGCTAAAATCCTTATCATGAGGACTATAAAGCAGGCAATCCCAATTTTCCTTACATTTCCTGCGCGAACATACCACGAACCAGCCCAGAACCAACCCTAAACCTTAAACCCTGAACCCTAAACCTTAAAACCCTAAACCCTAAACCATTAAACCCTAGTACTTATACCAGCCATTACGATGCTTAGACCGCCTTCAACTGAAGATTCCCACGTCTAGCTGCCAAAGCTACCACTTATATGACCCCTATGTCAACCGGTTTAGGGTTTAGGGTTTAGCGTTTAGGGTTTATACATATATATATATATATATGTATTCCCTGTCCTAATCTTTAAGCTCCAAACCTAACTCCTGAGCCCGACCCGGCCTGACCCCTCAACCCTAAATCCTAAACCTTAAGCCCCAAACCCCAAATCCCAATCCCTGAACAAAGAAAACCTGAAGCCTTATAGTCCCCCTTAAGTAGATAGAATATGGCTTTGGGTATATTACAATAAGATCCCCATATACCCCATATTCTATCTACTTAAGGGGACTATAAACCTGAAGCCCTAAACCCAAAACCCTTAACCTTAAACCGCCTTATCCATGTTGTGAGCCTAAAGGCCGCTCCAGCAAAAGCTGCTGTACAGCTTCCTCCCTGGCTGCGCCGCCGGTGAACTGCGACTGCTTCGTTAGGGTTTAGGGTTTAGGGTTTAGAGGGGTTAGGGTGAAGGGTTTAGAGGGCTTTAGACGGAGGTTACGATGGATGTAAAGATAGGCTGGCTCATCAAAAACAGCCCCAATAATATATACCCTATTACAATATAGTAGTTTCAATTTTCTTTTCCATCCCTATATAACCCCTGTCCAATTCCTTAATAGGGACCTCCATATGCCGCTTAGTGTCGTTGCATTGCCCTTGGGTTTCCGACACCTTGAACCGCAAAGCATTTCCCTAAATTAGGGGTACCTTTTTGGGGGACCTAATCTCGTAAGATGCGTGCGTGTAGAGCGGACACAACGGTTTCGGCGGAGAAAGGACAAACCATTCTGGGTTGCTGTACAGGAACTCGAATTAAGCTAGGGTTTAGTCCTGAAGGCTTAGAAATGTTTTGGTTTAAGGAGACTAGATCAAGTTTCCAGAACATGAATATATGGTGTGCAATACGTTTTTCTCGTGAGAGCTGCCTAATTTTGAGAGCAATCTACCTGGAGTTCCTTGACAGTAATCCGGAAGAAGTTGCCACTAGTTTGTTGTCCCTGTCCCCTCAACTTCTTGAGGAGGCAGAGGAGCTTGTTTGACTGTGCGTACTGTGCCTGGAAATCCTCAACTGTGGTTCAGAGTAGGGCCGTCCCAGCATCATAAAGTTGCGGTCAATTGTGCAAGCAATGCTAGGAGCATAGCAGTTGCGGCAGTAGTAGTAGTAGTAGCAGTAGTAGTAGTAGTAGTAGTAGTAGACAGTACGCAGTAGGTAGTAGGTAGTAGGTAGTAGGTAGTAATCAGTAAGTTGTAAGTAGTAAGCAGTAAGCAGTAAGTAGCAAGTAGTAAGTAGTAAGTAGTAGTAGCAGCAGCAGTAGCAGTAGCACCAGCTCGAGCTCTACTATGAACGGCGGAAATCTTGCGTCACCTAGTATTCAGCTGATACCGCAGTAGCAGCACAGCCGTAGCCATAGCCGTGATTCAGTGGCAGCTAGCGCTAGCATCAGCACGATTCTTAGCACTAGCAGGACTAGGTAGTGGTGGCCGATGGCGACCGTCAAGCTCAACAAGAGGGTCACGGAGAAGATCCGGGAACTGAACAGCAGCTGGGTTTGTTGTTCAGGAACTTAAATTAAGCTACCAAAATAGAGACATGTAGTAAACAACAGGGTTTCCTAGCTTTGGTAACTAGATTTAAGGTCCTCAATAGCAACCCAGGCAGCGGAGCCTTTGCTACCGAGCTGCGGTTGGGAGGCGTTGCAAGGCAACTGGCCCAACTTCCGCTGGACTCCTCGCTGGAGATTCTGGAAGGGCTGCTGGAGGCCGAGGAGGCCCACAATGACCCCACGACTTTCGTGGTAGCAGCAGCTTCAGCATCGGCCTCAGCTAGGGTTTCAGGGTTTAGGGTTCAGGGTTTAGGGTTCGGGGTTTAGGGTTTAGGGTTCAGGGTTTAGGGTTTAGCAAACTTCAGGGCCCCCCTTCAGGGTGAGTACATGGGCCAGGCAGAATTTATATAATCTAACCCACCCCAAGAAGGCTTGTAAGCCGCACTTTTTAAGACCTTATATACTTTCTGCGCAATCTTCTTGTCACCTCGCATCGTAGGTAAGTTTCAAGACCATGGGTTTCCTTTTGAGGTCTTTAAGGGCGACCCTCAGCTTTGGAAACCCTAAAGCTTTGCCCTAGATATGTGGGTGGTTGTCAAAATTATGGTCCCTTTTTGGGTCCCCATTATGCTACGGCACCTAATATTTAGGGTACCCAAAAAGGGACCATAATTTTGACAACCACCCATATGTTCCCTTCTTGTCATCTGCGTAGAACCTCTTAACCCTTGAAAAGGGACCCTGGGGGAACAACTTGCGAACCCCTCATTATCGAGAAGCTCTGAACCAAAACACCGAAGCCCTAACTACGCCGAACTGTAACCTAAATACGCCCAATCGTAACTCCCTAAGCCCTAAGCCCTGAACGCTAACGCCTAAACCCTGAGCCCTAACTAAGCCCTGAACCCTGAGCCCTAAACCCTAGGCCCTAAGCCTCAAACTCTAAGCCCTAAAGCCCCAATCCTAAACCCAGGCGCTGCTGAACCCGCCAGAAGAACCAGAGGAACCTGCTGAAGAGACGCCAGAAGATGCTGCAGAGGAGGCAACTTAGATTTTGGTATTTCGAGTTTAGGGTTTAGGACTTGTAAGGTTTGGGGTTTAGGGTTTAGTGCTCAGGGAGGATAGTATTTGCGCTTTTCAGTTTCGGGCTTAGATTTCAGCATCTCAAGTCCAAGCATTCACTTGCCAAGCGCCTTTTGGCAGTGACGGACAAATCCCCCCTGGCTCCCACATCATGACGAACGCATGGTAGTTTCCCTACATAGGGGGACCTCAACTTAGACACCAAAAAGGCTATAATCATTATCATAGGGACCACCTAAAAGTTATCCCTAATTTTGGGAAATGGTAGCGCCCTTCTGTACTTCGCCAACAAAATTTCAATCTCACCATGCCTAAACACCGCTTTCGGCTTCGAACCACTCAGAAACCTTAAACAGAACCCTTTGGGGAACGCTATAAACCCTACGCCCTATACTCCGAACCCTGAACCTCAGGCCGTGAAGTCTGAAGCCTCATCCTGGCACCCTGCACATTGGACTTCCTTAGACCTTGAACACCTGGATCTTGAGTCCTGAGTCATAGGCGTTCAACCCAGGCCCTGACTCCGGAACGCCATGCCTCGAAACTTAGGCCTTAAACATTGAACCCTGAGCCCGGAACCCAAACAACCCTGGGCCTTGAACCTTGGAGAAACTTCTCAAAATCTTAGCCCGAGCCCGACTAGGAGGCCTAGGAAAAGGGCTCCAATTAAAACTTCAAACTGTAAAACCTAGATCCACTAAGCCGTGAACAGGAGGCTGGCGAGACCTGGGAGGCAGAGGGTCTTGAGCAGACCGCTCAGGAAGAAGCAGCAGAGGAGCCTGAATCATTGTTCAACATCTTGAGGGTTTGGGATTTACTTAGCTGGGAAGGGGGGGAATGCAGCAACCCCGTATGCGATCCCCATACTTGGCCTCACAGCCCATTCCCCGCTTTCCGGTCAAGCATGAGTAATTCAACTAGGTACTGAATATGAACAAGTTTGTCAAAACAGGGGTGTTCCTTAGGGACCCTGAGGGTACATACTGTAGCACTTACAGGAGACTTCGTGCGAGGGTTCCTGATGAGAGATAAGACAAGGGCTGTGTTGAGAAACACCCGTGTATCGAAATACTAGTGCCATCCGTCATGGCAACTACAAGGGGCCGTAGCTTTGCAACCTAAACCCTAAATAGTAGTTTCCATTTGTCTTTTCCATTATCCCAATATAACCCCAATATAACCCCAGTATAACCCTAACATAACCCAAATATAACCCCAACATAACCCAATATTCCCTACCAGTTTTCAATCAAATCTTTACGTCATCTCGAAAGGGTTGCTCTCGCAGATGGCAAGCTCTATGAGCTACACGGTTTATTCCCTAGGTCTTTTTCCCTTTAAATTGGGGGGGGGGGGGGGGG